CAGGTAAGATCTCACTTAGCAATTTTCAATTATACAAAACACTATTACTAAATACCCTCTTGATGAAAAAAAAAAAAAAAAAAAAGAATCTTAGCAGGTACCGAGCTGAGAGCGTATCCCCAACTTTGGAAGCACCATCTTGCTGAAGACATACCTTTACAGACTCAGCGATTTCCTGGATGCCCTTGGCAGCTGCATCCTTTATGATTGGTGTAATTAAGCCTTTATCTGTTGCCACAGCCACTGAAATGTCAACAGAGGGCAGCTGCTTTGGGCCTTCTCCATCCCAGCTGGCATTGACACCCGGCATTTGCTGCAGACAGAAAAACTATGTGATGAAAGCAGCAGCTTGAGATTAAAGTGCTCAGAGAAAAACGGTTAACTTTATCATGCATATGAATGCAGTTGGGCAGAAGGATATTAATAAAATGGTTTAAAAAATGGTTTCCATCGCAGTCGATCATCAGTGATGTTTGGGAAAAAAGAAACACTTTTCTGCAGTACACTTGAGGAAATTCTGATGAAATGCATGTTTTGAACTTGTTGTATCATGGCTTTAAAAAGGGTTTTCCCCTTCATTAAACCTAACAGCCAGAAGGTATTTAATGTTTGCTATATTTCCTGTCTCACAGTGATATTCAGCCATCTTCCTTTAGCATGAAAGCCTGACGTTAGCACTGTCTGGAATATATATTAGCAAGCCCTCAATAAATGACCCCTCTGCTTAAAAGCAATTTCTTGAGCATTATAAACAGGAGATTTGCATTATATACATGCACATGTATACATTTAATATACAAAGAACTACACCAGAGGATGAAAAGAATATGATTAAACATCTGAAAAGTACAAACTGACGTTGCCAAGTGTCCCAGGACAATATGGCATTGGACACAGAAATCAAAAGCTAATTTCACATTTAAAAATTCTTTGCTTTCTACAGAATTAGCCCCAAGCCTCCCTGTATGACATTTTCCACAGCAAAGCACACTTTGACTGCACTCTGCCACTCGGCCGAGATGACATGTGCCCTTTACCAGGCTTCTCCCTGCATCCTTTACATTTGAGGGCTACCCTCACGTCACTTTTCAATTGTTCTTTGCATTTCTCTGTACCCAGGCTCAGACTGTTCACTCACTCAACAATGCCACCTTGTCAAAAGAGTAAAAACCAAAGTCCCAACCCCTCAAAAGACCATAAATTCTTCACACACAAAAGTAAAATAAAACTTAAAAAAAGCAAACAAAGCCACTAAAACTCTACAAATAAATAAAGGCAAATAAATTTAATTAGTAACTACCTAATAAAGACCTATGGGCATGGACTAAATTGCATTAAAATATTCATAATCTTAACCATTATTAAATAATTATTAAATAAGTTTGGACATCCACACAATGCAACTGTGGGGACAAATGCACGTTTCAAGTTAATTTGGAAGAAAAGGTTGAAAATCAGACAGAGTGATAATTACAACAGTAAAATGAGAAAGGGTTGAGATCCTCTCATCAAAAGCAACTAGATGCAGATATTTTTACTGGTGAATTCTATAAACCTTTAAAAAATATAAGCTCTTATAATGAATTAAAATGACTATAGGCTTTTAAAAAAAAAAGAGCTGGGAATACGGCTCAAAGAGATAACACTGGCCATCATGCACAAGGTCTGGGGTTCAATTCCCAGTACCAAAAGCAAAATACTAGTCTGTATAGCCAGACAACAGAAACCATGAAGGCTTTTGCTCACTTCCTATCTTTAGTGCTTAGGATGTATTTCGTACAAGACATGGGAATGGCTAGCATTTGCTGAACAAATGTTCTTTATCCTGCTATAATTACTCAAATTCTCAGTTTCTTCATCTGTAAGGCAAAGAAAATTAAATAACAGTGTATTTTCAGTTTATAACAAAATTATAAAAATCTTAACCTAGGTAACTATTCGAGAAGCAAAAGTTATTTTGATTTTGCCACTTACTTTAAGAGTAACCGCTGCTGCCCTGATAATAAAATCATTTACCGAGACTTTAATGTCATCTGAAAGAAAAAAAGAAAATCATATTAAAATCAGTATTCAAAAGAAAAACTTAACAGTGACCATTATGATTCCAAACTAGCAAACTATAGATGAGTCTGACAGAGATGACAAATATTATAAATCTGTGTTTGCTTGCTTAGTGAAGAAGGTTTACTTAATTAGAAAAGTGTGGATTATATGAAGTCCTACATAACAGTATAAACCATGACTATAGATGTTCACTTCTAGGGGTGGGAAGGAAAGCTCAGTGGTAAACTTGCACTTAGAATGTTCAAGGCCTTGGATTTAAGTCTCAGTATCCCTCCTTCACCTCAATTCACTTCTGAACTTTGGTTACAATTTCATGAAAGTTCTCAGGAACAATCCACAAGAACTTCAGGGATCCACTACAACTGTAATAGAAGGAAGAACACCAACAAACATGCCACTGAAGGACAAATGTTCTCTCTGTGTTTTGTGTACTCAAAGTTTTACAAGACAATGCATTTTTTCCCCTCATCTTCCAATGTCCTTATTCTATGCACATTTTATAACATACTGATTATATGAGAACAGTGGCACGTGAGTACATTAGATAAACAATTACTATATACTTATAAAAGGTTCCGAAATCTTTTTACTAATGGAGTGTAGGACAAGAAGAATTTCAGAAAATGGCTATAAGCATTAAACAAGATCTGCTTTCAACTCAACATGACAGGACACAGCAACTGCCAAAGATGATGCAATGCTGACACAGGTTCAAAAAATGAGGTTCTCTGTTTAAATTTATGGTGAATTCATGTGGATCAATTTCCTTCCAGCATACATAATGATTTTAAGACAAAGCTGGGGTCCCCTTCCTTCCTCTATCACTAATCATAACTAAGTCCTTGATTTAGATCTTTACTTTTGCCAGTGAATAAAGGTATCAGAGAAGGTAAATCATACCTGTTTTTTTAAGGGCTTATGATTGAGGTCTGGTCAATAGTATGGGGCAAGAAACACACATCCTGCTACTACAGTATCATGGTACTCTATGTGAACAACAGCTAATCCCAAAACTATGCCAGAGATTTTAAGCAGAGAATAGATGAATTGCATAAGTCTATATAAGGTAAAAGTGTTGTAGCCAGTGTCAGCTGCATATCACATCTTCCAATTCTCATATCCAGAAATATGTAACCACTGTTTTGTTTTAAAATCTCTTTTAGGAATAGAAACATAAGAGGATTTCCTGTATTTCAAGACTCGTTAATGATAACCACATGCTAAAGATTTCGTCTGCATAAATTCAAATACAGAGTCATACTATTTCACAAACTCATTCTGCATACCTCACCTAGCCACGCCCCACCCCCGCCTCTTCTCACGTTATCTGCTACTTATAGGTATTCGAGTAAAGACCTAGACTCCTACAGCCACATACCAGCTGATGACTCCTAAACCTACCACTAAATACACAGGCCTCACCTAGAATTCTGTCTTCATTGTACTGCAACCCTTAGAACCATTCTGGACTTTTATCACTTTCTTTACCTTGAAACCATTTCACTTACTAGCTCCCAGGTCACCAGAACACTCCTGATCTTCCACTCATTTTTAGTCCCTTCTCAATACTAGCATCTTGCAGACAGGTACTTTGAGTTCCATGGTTTTGAGACCTTTATAAGACGATGACTCCTTCAAATTCTAATTCTATCCTGACATGATTGGCGCTTCAGACCTGTATTCAACTTCTCACAAGGCATTTCTTTTTTAAAATACCTTATTTATTATTTTTATTTACGTGTATGAATGTATTGCCTGCATGTATTCAAGTGCACTCACTGTCATGCAGTGAGTGCCCTCAGAGGTCAGAAGAGGGTGTCGGACCTTCTGGAACTAGAGTTACAGATGGCTGTCATCCACCATGTGGAAGCTGGGGATCAAAAGCGGATCCCCTGCAAGAGCAGTCAGTGCTCTTAAACACCGAGCCATCTCACCAGCCCCTTCACAAGGCATTTCTGATACAACTAACAGACATCTCAAATCTAACATATGTAAAGGTGATTTCATCTTTCATCTGTTACTTTTAATTTTAATTCTTTATTATGGAATATTTCAAATACTGATGTAGTCATTAAGAAATAGTTTAGTTTCTTTTCTTCACTGCCTTAAAATTTTATATAGGACTTCACTCCATGGCTAGATTTATTCCAAGTTATTTAATGATTTTTGAGATTATCATGAATGAAACTGTTTCCCTGGTTTCTTTCTCAGTGTGTTTGTTGGTGGTATACAGGAAGAACTGATCTTTGTTAATTTGTATTCTGCTACTCCGCAGAAGGTGTTTATCAGCTCTAGGATTCTTTGGGTGGAGTCTTTAGGGTCTTTTATGTATAGAATTATCTAGAAAGAGGGATACTTTTGACTTCTTCCTTTCCAATCTGTATCCTATTCAGTTGTCCTGCTGCTCTAGCTAAAGCTTCA